AGATTGGCAGCTGGTCAGACACTTGTCAGGAAGCCTGTGGGCTGCCAAGTGGGCAGGAGTTCAGGTGGCTGAAGGCCAGGACTGTTGCATGAGGGGTCAGGGTTGGGGGTGAGGGGAGCAGCAGTTAACCCTTCGGAGCCCAACTGAAGCAATGCCCAAGAAGACAAGGGGGGCTTGAGGACTGAGCCCAGCGGGCCACACTCCCCCGAGGCAGCATGGAGCCAATGAGTATGCTAAACACGGCTGTCATCCCTTCACCCGCGTGAATGCCAGAGCCACGGCTGGGGGTGCGGGGGGTTTCTGGGTTTGGTGGGAGGTCCTCAGGGACCTCTGTGAGTGTAATGTGCAGATCTCACTCCCTTAAATGTATCTGTGGCTTCTCAAGAAACAAGAATGAATCTCTACCTTCAAAGGCCGAAAGTAGAAGCTCAAGCTGTTACCGACAGCCCTTGCCCTCAAAGTACCTCCAGCAGGAAGAGGCTTCCTCAGCACCAGGCCTCAGGGCCCGGCTACTGCTCTCTCCCGCAGACCTTCTGAAAAGATTGATGGAAATCTTAACTCGAACAACAGCAAGTTACCGGGGGCCAGAGCTGCTTCAGGGCAGGACACATCTAGGTCTCTCACTCTAGGTTAAGTTAAAATTCCCCAATCCTGCCAAAGTCATCCTAGCTCCTCTCTCGCCTTCCAGAAAGGTACACACAGGTTCCCTCTGACCTTTAATGAGGTTTTGTCCGCTGCAGCTGATCCAAGTCTTTCCTGTGGTTTCCTCTCTTCTGTCCTTGCCTTATTTCAAAGTTTCCTGGGTTTGGATATTGCTACTTAATAGCATCAGTTATTTTCTAGACCTACGCTATCCAATATGGTAGCCACCAGCCACATGTGGCTATGGAGCACTTGAGATGTGGCTAATCCAAACTGAGATGTGCTTTAAGTGCAAAGTACACTCCTGATTTCAAAGACTTAGTGCAACAAACACACCCCCAAAAACAAACAAAAAAACTAATGTAACATCTCAGTGATCATTTTATGTTGATTACATGTTGAAATGAGAATATTTTGGATATATTGAATTTAATAAAATGTATTAAAATTAACTTTACCTGTTTTTTTAATGAGGCTACTAGAAAATTTTAAAATACTGTACAATGTAGCTTGCATTTGTAGGCCATATTCTATACTATTGGACAGCACTGGTCTAGACACTGGGATGAGGCGTAATGAACTTATAATCATTCCTTCAAGTCAACAAGTAGATTCTGAGCACCTGCAAGGTGCAAAGTGGGCTAATGACCCCCGCTCTTCATCCTGGCCACCTTCAACTCATGAGGGCATGGAGGGGGCCCACACATCAACTTGAACAAATAGAGCTGGGAATTGAAATCTGCACCCATGATCCACCGAGAAATTCTAAACAGGTGAGCTCTGGTTTAGGCAGAGAGACTCAGGAACAGCCTGGGGTAGGGGTCTTATCAAAGGATTTTCTGCTTTTGAAAAAACATGTATCCGGGAATTCCTTGGAATTGGTGGCCTTCACAGCAAATTTCAAGTTTCTGGTTCTACTCTGCACTCTTAAGGAACCGTTCTGCCAGAACTGCCGTGACGTGTTCTGAAGCCAAAGTAAGTACTTTTCAGGTTATCTGTTTGGACTGGATCTGATGTTCCATTCCAGCCTTCCCTCTGCCTAGGCAGGTGGGAGATGCGCCGGCATCAGAGGGCAGCCCACTGGGCAGAGGGCGCGGGCTACCTCCCTGGCACTCCTATTGCCACTGGTGCCTGTGCTGCTCTGCGGCCTCCTGCACCTCTGGGCACCCACGCAGGGAACATCTGGAGCTCCAGGGGTGCGGCCTGAGGCCGAGAGGCAGGTGTCAAGAGCGACTGTGCACTGACCTTCAAGAGCCAAATGCTGAGCCTCGCCCGTGTCCTCTGCCATCTGTCGGCCAGAAGCCACACTTTTCACCAACTGAAGGGTCAGCTGTATGACACATCAGACCGAGTTTGAAGGTCACGACAGACCGGGAACTGAGAAGTGAGTAAGCATGGGGATGGAAGAGTTGAGAGGCAGGAGCAATGAGGAAAGTTAAAAATAGGATTTCCAGCCCAGAGCAGAGCAGACAGGGCAAGCCAAGACTTCAGTTCATGACAGAGGTTTGAGAGTGACTGTAGCTGGGCTGCCTCGCCCATGAACCCACAGCCAATGGGAGGAAGCTGACTGTCTGCTGCAGGGGTTGGGGGACCGGAGTAGATGTTCCAGATGTTCTGGGGAACTGCGATGCCAAAATAGGGCGGGGACCAGGGATCTAGGTGGAGCTACCCTGTGTCCTGTTCTCTCTGCACAGGAGCCGAGGTGATCCGTTTGGGAACGGGGCTGTCAGCCTGGAGCTCCTAGCTGCTCATTCTCCCCAGGCCCTTGCTGCCTGCTGCTATTTCTTGCTCCCATTATCTCCTCTCTACCTGTCCCTTCTTTCATTCCCTGCCCCCACCTCTCTCGTCTTATCTTTCCCCTGAACAAGCAGGACTTTCCGAGCCAGATACCTCCAGCCCAAAGGGGAAGATGGGAATAATAATAGGTTCCTGGCTCAGACTGGGCCTCCAGCGGGGGAGGAGTGCTCAGCCTTGGCCTTGCTCAGTCCCTTCCTGCCTCAGGCACGGCAGCAGGGAGCAGAGGTGAGAAACGAGCAAATTCTCTGTAGGCCCAAGAGTACCGTGCCCTTGGGACTGGATTTCTGGACTTTCTTAGGAGGTGAGGAGAGGCTTCCCTGGCTTCAACCATAAAAAGGAAGTTGGTTCTCTTGCTTTTTGGCAAGACTCTTTCCTACTCACCTCCCATTCTGCTTTGCTGAAGCCAGAGGAGGGCAGTTATCTTTGCTGGGGAGAGCCGAGGAGTGGAAAGGCCTATTTCCTGGCCGTGAATGGAAGTATGCCCCTACGTAAATGGACTACGCATGCCCCTTCCTCCCAGAGCCCCGTCCTGGGTGCTCACTTCCCGCATTCAGTCTCATGCCAGGGAGGACAGGGAAGGGTCCCGGTCACAGTGCCGTCATTTACAGAAAGGAGAGACACAGGTTGGTGTGAGCTCCATGGAAGCCCCAGGACATGATCTTTAATTGATGTTCCTGTCCCTGCCTCCCCACCCCAAACCCCAGATGACATATTTACAGGGTGTTGTATGGAGCCAGTTCTAGGCCCAGGCCACTGCAGCCTCCATTCCGCCCTGGGCCCTGCCAGGGTGGGCACTCCCAGGGTGGGGCAGAAGGATGCGGACAGCTGGGAGCCAGGTGGACTGGTCACAGGAAGTCCAGCGTTCTCCACATCCTCATTCCCACCCCCACATATGTGCATACACAGCAATGCCCATGCGCAGAGCTGTTCACCCTTGTACAGAGATGTGGATCCAATTGCTTGTGCCAGATGCATCGCCACCTGTGTGCACGTGTGTACCACCAGAGGATGCCTTAAGATATCACAGCAATAGTGTAAAACCCAGCCCTTACCCTCCTGCCCCTGCCCCAGCTTGTGGGGCTGGTGGAGCACGACTGGCCGGAGGGGTACCCCACCTACCCCCCTTCTTGGGCAGTGCCAGCTGGAGCTCAATATTGAGGACCCGGCTGTAGCTGCATCCAGCCACCCAAAAGGGTGTCAATGGGTCTCAGCCCCCAGTTTGCCCTGAGGGGTGGTACAGATAAACAGGGAGCCATTTCCTCCATGATTCCTCCTCAAAGATGCCCCAGAAACAGAGGGACTGAAGCAGGCAGCTCAAAGGCCCTGGGGTGTTCAGAAACCCCTGCTGAGTCCAGGTGGGGGTATCCCTGAGGAGAGGGGCTCCATTCGTTTGTGGCTTTCATCCATAAGGTAGCTTGATCCCCATCTTGGCCCTGCAGCTGGTTTGCAGCAGTTGAGGAGCCAGGGCTCCTCTGTCCCAAGCGAGGGTCATGAGGGAAGGCCATGGACAGGACAGCTTGTTGGAGGACTGAGGAATTCTGCCCGGCCTCAGCCTGTCTCTCAGGCTTGGCTGCAGGGGGATCAGAGGACATAATGGGGACAACAACTGTAAATTTACTACTCGGCCCTGGAATGGGGTAAGGAGCAAAATGGGTTGAGAGGGCCTTGAGAACTTTTCTAGAAGCTGAGGATCGTACATGAGACCTGCCTTTTGTTACCTCCTCTTGCACATCACAGGCAGGGCCCCTAGCTCTCCAGGCACTGAGCCACCCCTGGCCTTCCTACTTGGGAGAGTCCTCCCTGGGAGGATGGCCCAGCCTGGGACCTCTAGGCGCGCCAGAAGGCATCTAAACCCTGAGTCAGCCCCAGAATCACCCTTCTTGAAAGGGGGAAGGTGCCATTTTATTTCAGGGACTGTATTTTCTAGACCCCCAAATACATGCGTCCTGGCAGGGACAGCAGGACAGTCATTTTGGAATTGAAGACAATCTGGGACGTGTGGTCGCCGTACCCAGGACCGAGGCCCTGGGCACGGAACAGGCAGCTTTGGTTTGAATCAGCACTCGGACTTCTCTCCAGGCTCAGCAGGACTGGGCGGAGGAGGCAAGCACGGACGCCTGGCCCCTGCCTGGCTTGGGGACGTCTGTGTTCAGTGAGAGGACTCTAGAGTGATCATCCCAGGGGAGGGCCCGGGGGATGGCCATGCCTCAGTTCCTCCGGGCCCACAGATGTCAAAAGATCCCCACAACTGCCCTGGCCCAGCACCCCAAGGTTACATTCATCAGTTAAGATTCAGTTAAAAAGAAATGTAGATGTCGGCCCCCTCCCCCTAAGTCCCAGAGAGCTAAGACCCTGGTCCCAACTGCCTGTTTTTGAGAGGGGCCATCCCTCTAACCCTCACCCCCCGACTTCAGCTGTGGCAATCTGTGATGATGGAAGCTACATTCACACAGGGAGAGGTGGTGTGCAAGGCCAAGCCACATGAGGTGGGGTGGGGGACCATGAAAGGCCCTCCAGGCCTGGTCCACCCTGGGGGTGTGAAGGACAGGGCCACAGCCCCCCACCCAAAGCCCTGTGGGGCCAGGACTTGAAGGGCTTGAGCCTGGAAGACATTTGCATGGTGCCTCCCTCCATGGCTGGGCAGGGGCAGCCTCGTGGTTCAGGGTGGAGACGGTGGGTGTCAGGCTTGGATGGAGGGGGGTGGCACTTAGGCCCCTCCAGACCTGGAATGGAGAGGGGGCATCAAGGGAGGATATGAGGCAGGGCCCAGAGGGATAGCCCCTGAGCCGGGCCCTGGGAGGTCAGGGCTGGGCCGTGGAGGTGGCAAGTCACAGGCTGGCCAGGGAGGGGATCTGGTAGGAGGTGAGACAGTGGTGACATGGAAGACAAAACAGATGGGACACAGAAGTAGGCTCTCTTCCCAGGGGTCAGGGGCTGCAGTGTGCACAGCTCCAGGGTCCGCCTGGCCAGGGGTAGTCTGGCCATAAGCAGGGCAGGATTAAATGGACCAGGCCTGAGGAGATGGGCGGCTAGAGAAAGGGGCAAGGGCAGGCTAAGAACTTTCTTCCCAGAGTGGATTCTCCCACCCCTGTAGTGACAGCAGTGACAGCGGGGGTGGGGAATCAGCCCCCAGCTTCCCATCAACAGAATGCGAGGTGACGAATGAGATGGAGGAGACAGGGACAGCGGGAGGGATGACGTGGCCGGCGTCACACTGCCCCCTGCTGGGTCGGGTCATACCTTCCTCGGCGGATGTTTCTTCAAAAGCCAAGGAGAAAACAGGCAGAGAAAGGAAAAGGAGTCATTTGTGACTTTCCCCTTCTCTTAGGCAGGGGCCTTCTGGCTCCCAGAAGACTCCTTGCCCCAGAGATGGGCCGGGGCACCGGGGCCTGGACACTAATGACAGGCCCAGGGAGAGACACTGAGAAGACCTACTAAAGTTGGGGGCTGGGTCTGAGTCCTGACTCTGCAACTGACTCACTGTATGGCCCTGGGCCTCAGGTCCCTCCTTGCACGTTGAGGGTTAGACCAGCTCCAGGGCCCCAGACTCAGGTGCCCACAGAACATTGTAGGCTGGGTGGGACCTAGGGACAGAGGATGGAGGCCCTGTCTCAGGCAGCCCTGCTCAGCTCCCCTCTGTGGCTGCGCTGGGATGCACTGAGGCACAGTAGGGCCTCATCTTCTCACTTTTCAAGAGAAGCTAGAAATCAGGATTCTTAATGTAAACTCTCCTGGTTTTTAAATGTGAGCAACCAGTTTTTTAAAATGTTAAAACAAGACCCTCTGGGCTGGCTTGGACTGTGATATGTGAGCTCTGGTTTAGCTAACACCTCAGGAGACCCCCTTAGCTCCAACAGCCTGGGGTTCTCATAACCCCCGAGGACGCCAGGGAGTGTAGGAGGGATGCATGCGTTTCTTACTTAAATCCCCAGCCCGTGCCACCTAGGACGATGGCTGCAACCAGGACAGCCCCGGCGATGGAGCCAATGATGATGTTGGTGCCGCTGGGACCTAGGGAGGAGGGCAGGGCTCGGTTGGCAGGCACAGGCATGGAGAACAGGAAGGAGAGCGCCCACCCCAGCCAGCTGCAGCCTCACCCTTATATCTCTCGGTCTCCCCCGTGGGCAGAGACGTGGGCAGGGGGTTGTGGATACTGCAGTCTTTGCCTGTCCAGTCTGGCTGACAGATGCACTTCCCTTCATTGCTGCAGACCTAGAGGTGGGGTGGGGCCAGCAGAGGTGAGCAGGGCCCTGTCCCCTCTTGTAAGCCCCTCCCACCATCCCTGGCCTCCAGGCACCCACCCCGTGGTGGGAGCAGATGCGGCGCTCCCCGCTGCCTGGGCAGGTGCTGAAGTTGAAGGCAGAGGCTGGCAGGCAGCGATGATCCAGGCACAGCATGTTGGGCCCGCAGGCTGTGCCGTCCTCCACATAGCTCAGGTCTGAGCCATCGGCCAGCTGCACGTGGCCACCCCTGGGGCAACAGCACAGCCAGCCTAGGCCCTTGCCCCCCACGCCATCACAGCTGCAACCTCCCCTTCCCCAGCCATGGTCCTGGCCAAAACCTGCAGTCCAGCTCCTTGCCCTGGTGGTAGAAGGTGATACTGCTGATGTCCCCTCCTAGGTCCCCCAGCCGAGGAGTTCCAGAGATGTTGACGCAGAGGAGAAAGCCACAGAGCACGTCCCTGTTGGGGCAGCATGGAGACAGTGAGACCCAAGTCTGACTTCAGACCCAACTATTGAACGTGAATCTGCCCTCTCCCACCCCTGATTTTTCACATATTCTCCCATTTGGGACTCACAGACTCATCCTAGAAGAACCTGCTGCCCCATGTCTGAAAAAACCCTCCCTAGCCCCAGCACTGGGGAGACCCAACCAGGAGGCTCGGCAACTCACTGTTTATTGCACTGGACCCAGCCTGACCCCTTGCGCCCACAGTTCCCACGCTCTGTCCCCTCCACATTCAGCTTCTCATAGCAGAAGCGATCAGCAGCCGCTGTAAGCAGATGATGCCAGGCGTCACTCCACTCAGCCCAGAACCCACCTGGGACCTCAGGCCTGCACCTACAACACTCTGGCCTGACCCCCAGTCCGGCTGGGGCCCTGAGATCCTGGGGAGCCACACATGTGGTGGAGGGCATATTCAGCCAGAAAATGCCCCCTCCCTAGCCTCTCAATTCTGGGTCCTCCAGAGTCCCCTCTCCCATCCCTAGCCAAAGACTGACCATGGCCCCAAAGGGCTTGGCATTGCCGGTCCCGGGTTTTGCAGCGACCTCCATAGCAGCGGCCCTAAGAGACAAACAGGAGACAAGGGGCTGAGACACTGAGTGATCAGAGTGGAGACAAGACAGACTGTACTGACAGGCGCCGAGGGGAGGAGCCCCCACCCCATCATACCTGTTCATGATCACAGTAGTAACCGTCCAGCTTGTGCAGGTTAGGGGGACACTGCCGAGAGAGGGGCTGGACTAAGCAGGGCAGCCCCAGGACTGAGAGCTGCGGCTGGCCCCAGGAAGGAATGAAGGGGTGCCAAATGCCCTCTATGTGGGGGCTCATGTGACAGGGTTCTTCCACATCCCGGACAAGAGGTCTGGCTTGGAACTTAGGCCAGACCGATTAGCAAGTCCCATAGGCTCTCCAGGCTCCCTGTTTCCTGCACCTACTTCACAGGCTGGGGGAACTACACACCTGGCACTAATAAGGACTTAAGAGATGTTAACTAGTATTACCCACTCTGATCCCCAGCACACGCCAGGCACTGCACCAGGCTCTGGGAACACCAGCCAGACTATAAATACTGGTTTAATAATTGAAGGAGCAAAGCCAGGAGGCATGAGGAATCCCTTTCTCAGCTGAGGAAACACGCTGATCAGCGGCGACGACGCCAGCAGCGGAGCGGAGGGGCGCGGAGAACAGTCGCCCGGCAGAGTCAAACTGATAGGGACAGGGGTTGCCTCGCCCCGGGCTCCGCAGGGCGGCCGGCCGGCCGGGCGGACCTGGCTCGAGTCCCCGGTGCAGGTCTCCGCGATGTCGCACTCGTTCACCGCCTCTCGACAGGACACGCCTCGCGGCTCGTACTGGGGAAAGGATGCGTTCCCAGGGCTCAGGCAGGAACTGCGGACCCGGCGCCCGCCTGCCCTCCCCTCGGCCCCGGCCACTCCCGCTCCAGCCCACTCAGCACCGCCCCCAGGCCCACTTACGGTTCCGCCCCGCCCACCAGGTCTCTGCAAGTGCCCCGCCCTGCTCCTCGTAGCCCCGCCTTCAACAGGCCCCGGGGCGAACGCCCTGCCCTTCTCCCTCCCCATTGGCGCTTTCTTCGCGTCAGGCCCCGCTCCTTCAGATTAGCTCGGTCCGCAGCGGCGCCTCTTCCATAAGCCCCGCCCCTTAGCAGAACTTCTGCCGCCCGGTCCCTGCAGGTCTCGCCTCCTTCGCGCTCCAGCGGCGGGTCCCCCTCACCTTGCAGCGGCGACAGCAGAGCCCGTCACTGCACATGGCGTCGTGGGTCAGGGTGCATTTCTTGCAACAGTTCCCGCCTGCGCGGCTGCACTCCTGAGGACACGGAGAGAAGGGGAGGGAGGCGGCCGAGCCCTGATCCTCCCCACCCGGGCCCTCCCTCGCGGCCACCGGCGTCCCCTGCCCCCACCTGGCGCCCGCACCAGTCACTTACTTGCACCGAGCCGCAGTCGCACTCCTCCCCCGCCTCCACGAAGCCGTTCCCGCACTCAGGCGGGTCCAGGAGCTGGACCGGCAAGGGGTGTCGGGAGTCTGGCCAGGACCCTGCCCAAGCCCCACTCCCACGTTCTCCGCCCTGGGGCTGGTACCTTGAGGGGCTTGTTGAAGAGGCAGCTCCCGCCGCCCTCCTGCAGAAACTGATTGTACTCGTCGATGCTGCAGCGCGAGAACTTGCGGGGCAGGTAGAACCTGGGCAGGGGTAAGGGGACTGTGCCGCTGGGTCCTGGCCTGCGCACTCCTTTCCAGCCCATTCCCTTGCCCCTTCTCAAGACTGGGGATCGGGTGCGACGGGGGACTCGGTCACCATCTGGAGAAGGCTGAGGATCTACGTGCCCGGAGACTGCAGGAGGATCCTCCCGCCTGCCCATCAAGCGGGAGTGGGCGGGGAACTTCGCTCCGGTCCCCTCTCCAAAACCTCAGGATCCGAGTCTGAGGCTGGAGCGCCGAGGCGAGAAGGTGCCTCCAAACAAGGCTTTGGCGGCGCCCAGTGGCCACAGTGCGCACTACAGTCTGGCCAGTTTTGGTGTCCGGCAGGGTAACTGGGACTCCATGTGCACCGTCCGCTGAAAACTGGGGTTCTTGGAATCCTGAGTGGTCTTGAGATCTGGGCCTCTTGAGGCCACCGGGTCCAGACTGCCACCCAGTGCTCCCTCTGGGACTCCCCTCGCCCAAGACCCTCCCCCAAGAACTCACCCAGTGTCCTCCATGATGCAGCCCAGCCAGTTGTCCGGACACTTGCAGTCCCCTGAGAAGTGAGCCAGGTGGATATAAAGGAGGGTGGAGGACTGCCCCCCTCCCATGGACACATTCTTCACTTCTGGAGCTTCTGGCTGTGGGTGGGTCTGGGCTGGTTGTGGGGCCACATAGGGTCTTCACTGATACCTGCTGAGCTCCGGTGTTTATTCCACATCATGCCCAGGTTCTGCCCCAGCGTCTGAGCCAGGGTCACTGCCATGGCCCCCATGTTGTCATACTTTGGGTGAGGAAGATGGAGCAAAAAGATGTCTACATCCTTCCAGAAGGCACAGGGCTCATGCCCTTCATAGCCCCTCTCCCTCCAACCCGCCCCCAGCCGTGCCCCCACACTGCTCACCTCATTCACACCCCCACCCCTGGACAGTGAGCAGATGCCCCCCACATAGGCAGCTCCACTACTGGTGCTCTGGAAGGTCCTGCCCCTGGAAGGGAGAGGGTTGTCAGAGACCCTCCCACCCACAGCTTCCCTGGCTGTGAGGGGGAGACAGGGGAGCCTCCCACACTAGAGCCCTTCCTTGGGGAGGTGAGCACTGCCCTTCATGTCAGCCTGTGTGACCTCAGGCAAACCCCTTCCCCTCTTTGGGTTCGTTTGCCCATAAGCCAAATGAGAGGTTCCTATTGGATCATCTCCAATTGCAAGGACTTTTTATCAGTTTCCCACCAGGGCACTGGCTCCCTGAGGAAGGGATGCTGGGACAGTGTGAAAGGGGAAGAGAGGTGAAGGGGGGGTGGTGGGCAGAGGAAGACCACTTGGGCTAGGGAAAAGGGGCATCAACCTAAGATGCAGGGAAAGATGCCCAGACTGTTGCAACTGGCTGGGGGCAGGAGCAAGGTGAGCCCAGTCCCAGTGCTGCAAGAGCACGTGGCACAGAGCAGGTGTTCAATAACCCTGTGTACCACAGCAACCAGCAGAGCAGGATGCATGGGGTGGGGGACTCACGAGAAGAGGTGGGTGGCATCACTGGGCTCAGGCAGGCCCTCCCGCCGGTAGACCATGAGCCGAGCCAGGGTCTCCAGGAGGTCATCCTGCACCTGGATCTTGTCCCCATCTGCCCACGTTTCCATGGCAACCAGCACGATGCGGGTATTGAGCTGCTCCTTGTACATCTTGGCATGGAGAGGAAAAGATGAGGAGGAGGCTGGAAGTGGGGGTGTGGGTGTGGGGGGACAGGGCTGGAGGAAGGCCTCAGTCTATCCCCCCAGGAAGTTGGGGGACAGAGACTGATAGTGCTCTTGAGAGCTCACCCCAAAGATGTGTGGGGTGGAGGGAGAGGGAAGGGAAGGGGAGGGAGGGCTGCTCACCACATCCGCCAGGTTCACCACAGACTTGGCAAAGTTGCTGGTGAGGACCACCGACTGTCGCATCTGCTCAAACTGGAAGAGAGGAGAGTGGGCGGAGGGCGGGGCTCCTTCCAGCCCCTCTTCCCAGAGTGGCCCCTAGCCTGGGAACTTACCAGCTGGTGGTCATTGATCACGATCAGCTCCACATACTTGGTCTCACTGTGCACTGTAGGGTGGCCCCGGCGGACCTGGAGGGTGGGTGGGCACTTGGAATCAGTCCCCTCCATGCCTGGCATCATGGCAAAGCCATGGACAGACTTGGGGAGGGGGAGCTGGACTCCCGCCAGGAACAGTGCCAGCCCCCCACTGGCGGCAGGGGGGGTCCCATGCGTCCCCGACCCTAGGACAAAGGCAGGCAGCCTCAGTTTGTCCACCATGGGGACGCGTGTCATCACCAGCGTTAGGGAATGGGGTGGGGGGCTTCCTCCCAGAGATGGTTCCCCAGCCCCCAGCCACATCAGTCTGAGCTGTCCTTTGCCCCAGCCATGAATAGGGGTGTGCTTCTGCTCTGGACCACAGCCTGAGGTCTCTGCAGCCCGAGGTCTCTGCGGGCCCCCGTACCTGCCTTTTCCTTCTCAGCCTCGGCCGGTTCGGAGGAGCAGAATGGGCAGGGGCAGTGAACAGGCAGCCTGAGGGGAGGGGGCAGGTGAGGGGGGCACAGCGGGCCCCTCCCCAGCCCCACTTTCCCTCCCTTACCTGGTTCCCTGCATCCGAGGGGGACTGGGAGGAGAGGGGTCCGGTAAATGAGGTGGGGAAGGGGTCCCTGCAATGAGGGGGAATTAGTTCTTGGGGGGCCAACCAGGCCTGCTCTGAGCCCAGTTAGGGGGACAGCTCCAGCCCTTCCCCCACCCCACCCCAGGGTGACCCAGCACTGGCCAGAGCTCCCATGTCGGATCTGATCTCCCAGATGCTCATATTCCGGGGTCAAGACCTGGGGGCGCCCTGAGAGACAGGGGCAAAGGATGCTGGAGCCCAATGGGAGGTTACTTGGGGGACAGAGGGGACATTGGAGCTGGGGACACAGGGGGAGGGAACCAGAGCTGGCGTCACTGAGGAGGGCAGTGAGGCTGAGGTTACCAAGGGAGGAGGAGGAGGCAGCCACAGCCACTGGGACGACAGCCATTGGGATGTGTGGCAGGGCCATCAAAGGGGACCTGAGGGGCTCACCTGGGGGGCTTCCCGAGGCCCGGCCATCTCTCGGGGCTCCACGACATAGGTGAAGTTCCCGTCAGAGAAGACCCCACTGCAGAGAGAGAGGCGCAGCTCCCTACCGTCCCCAGGGCCCGGGCTGGAGGCTTTTCCCGGCCACCCAGCCTCTCCCCATACTCACTGCAGCCCCTGGCAGGTGGAGAGGGCGGCAAAGGAGCGGGGATTCCCCCGGAGCTGCCCTTGGTAGTAGCAGTGGTCTCCGGCCCCCTGGAGGAGCAGCAGAGCATGAGCCGACCTGCCCCCCGCCCCAGCATGAGGGCATGAGGACTGCCGAGGGCCCCCGAAGCTGCCCTGGGTGCAGGTGGCTGCAGTCCCTGGGCACTCCAGGGGATCTGCAGCCTGGTTCTACTCTGGCTGTGCTCCTAATGTGCTGTTTCAACCTGGGCAAGTTCCTAGCCCTCTCTGGGCCTCCTTCATCTCACCTACTAAATGAGGAAGTTGGACTACATCAGTGGTTCTTAACTGTTTGCTAAAGGGATCACAGACTCCTTCGAGAAGAAGCACTAATGCTCAGAGAGCACCTACTGTGTGCTGGGCACTCTTCTAAGCAGTTAGCCCACTTAGGTGAATGCCATGGACCTCCCCAATGCGCACGCGCCATGTCACACAGTGCATTGACAGACACTGCGGCCTCCGTGGACCCCCCCTGCACACGGTCTGTGGCTGAGGAAGTGTGAGCAGCTCGTGTCCTCCTGGCCCAGCTCACGGGTCAGAGGGGAGCATCACCCACCCCTGCTTCCTGCAGAATTACTTGTGCTCCAGTTACTGAACAGGCGAGGGGGGGAGGGTGGTGGCTATTTATAGATACTCATTCATCTTTGCTCAGGCCCCTGGGCCTCCAGGGCTGGGAGGTATCGCAGGAAGCCAGGAATCCCCAGGGCCTTGGTGCTGAGCAAGAGGGGCATTTCCCCAACTGCCCCCTCCCAGAAGAGTCAACAGGAGCATGAGGGTCCTCGAATGCCTCCAGGCCAGGCAGAGAGGCTGGCTGGGAGTCAGACCTCTGGAGCTGGGCCAGGGGAGCTCAGGGCTCCACCCCATTCGACATGCCACCCTGACTCCCACCCTTGGAGCCTCCAAGGTGGGGAGAGATGGAGGGTCCCGAGGGGCCAGGCTCATCCCGAGTGTAGAGTATACCCCAGACCCCCTCTCCACCGGCCACCTGTCTCCCCATTCCACATCCCCTGTCCCCTTCCAAAGGCTCACGGTGCTGTGCCGGGTTGTCCCCTCCCGGCTGAAATGGCGCTCCACGTACTGCGAGGAGAGGAGGTGACTGAAACAGAGTGGGCAGGAGGTAGGAAGGGGTCATTGGTGGGGCTAGGTCAGGCTTGGGGCCCACCCCAGCTCAGATCCGGGTTCCCTGCCCGGGTCCAGCCCCCACCCACCCTCAACCAGCCAAGTCCAGGCCATGCCCTGCCCACCCGCCTGCTGCCCTTCCTCCCAGGCCCAAGACCACACTCACTGGTTCAGCTCCAGGTCCAGAGTGAAGTTTGAGTTGAAGGCTGGGATGACGAAACTCACCTGGGCCAGGTGAACAGGCTGGGGGTGGGGAGGGCAAAGGGGGAGTCAACCTTGGGAGGACTGAAGGTGGGAATAGGGGAATCAGGGAAACCCCTGGGAAGGGGACGGCCCAGCCCAGCAGCTGCAGGGACCACTGATTTGGGGGGAAGATGCTCTGTACAAGTTCATCTTCCTCCAAGAACCTGTTCCTTTCCTGGGGGAAGGGGCAGGAGTGCACATCCCTGGGCACAGCCCACCCTGCCCTCTGGGCACGGGCACAGCGAGCAGCGTAGGGGGAGGTGCCAGCCCATCCTCCCTGTGCAGGCACCTCCCTGAGACAGCAGGGATGGAGAGGGGCAGCTCGAGCCGTGCACTGCTGCAGGCCAGGCCCTCCCTGCCTCCCAATCCCCTACCCTCAGGTAGACTAAAGGGAGGCCCCCAGAAGTATCATGGGAAAGGGGCAAAGAGGAGATGGGGGGCAGTGTGACCCCCGGGCCCTGCTGAAGCCAGCCCCTCCCTTCCTGTGCCTCTGTCCTGGCTCCGGCCTCCATTTATGGAGGAGGCCTCGGACTCTGCAGACGGGTGGAGTGGGTTAGAATTGATCGTGGGGCCCTGGAAGCTGGGGTGATGGGCAGATGCCATCCTGTCAGGAGGGAAGAACTTGGCTCCTTACCCCCAAGTCCATCGCCCTCACCTCGCCCAAAGCAGCTCATCTTTAATATTTCAATCCCCTGGTTAATTTTTAAACACTGAAGTTTTCCTGATAAATTTTTTAGAGGGGCCTTTGCAGTGGGGCTGGGAGGCTCCAGGTTGTCATGGCAACATACCAGGCCGGAGCAAGGTGGCTGCCCTCCCAGGCCTGGGCACCCAACTACTGCGGGGAGTGGGGACTCCAGACCTGAAGCTAGCAAGCCCAGAGGGAAGCAACCCCAAGAGAAGAAGGGGCAGGAGAGTCTGGGCAGGGAGGAGTCAGCCTTCTCAGCTCCCACGTGCCCACCCCAAGCCTCAGGTCTTACAAAAGATCTGAAGCAGAAGGGCCTGAGAGGAGTGCAGCCTTCTTCCCACCCCCATCCATTTAAGAAGCCTGAAATCCAGACCCCCAGATGAGGGTCCCACCGCGGGGCTGTGCAGATGTGAGGTTTTGTTTGCTGCCTTCTTTTTGGGGGAGCAGGTTGCAGGATCCCCGATGTCGCGAAATCCCTATCCTGGTGCTGATCGGTGTCCTCACGAGCCCCCTAGGTTCCCAATTCTTACTGAGTGCTTAGTATGATCCAGGCACTGTTCTACATACTTTACAAGTACGATCATATCTGATCTTCACAACAACCCAATGGGATAGATGTCTCTGTTATCCTCATCTGACAGGTGGGGAAACTGAGGCACAGAGAGGCTAACTAACTTGCCCAAGGTCACACAGCTAAGACACGGAGCTGGGATTCAAGCCTAGGGAATCAGCTTCCAGAGCCTTCTCCCTGAAAAGGTGAGGTAAGATGGACATGGCCCCGTGTCCATGAGAGGCCCGGGGAGAGGCGGTGAGGCAGGTGAAGGGCCAGGGCCTGGGTAGGCAGCCTGCTGAGCCCGAAGGACACTGACTCACCCCCTCCCAGGCTGACTGAGGCTCCAAGCTCTGTCCTGAGCCCCTAGAGCATCGATCAGACTCAAAATAGAAAGTCAAGGACAAGGAGTCACTGCTTCTCCCCCATCTTGGCCTGGACCATCTCTGCTTTCCCCCTGCCCCTAGGCCTGGATTACCTCTACCCCCACCATTCCCCTTGGCCTCAACCATCCCTACCCTCCCTCTCCACTCATGGGCTTGGACTTTCTCTGCCTTCCCCACCCATCCTGCCTGGACCACCTTGGCCCTCCCCTGCCCTCAGGTCTGTTTCTGCTTGTTCTTCCTGCACCCCCGCCCCCAACCCCTGACAAGCCCCTATCCCTGGCCTTACACTGGCCACCCAGAGGAGCAGCCTGTCCAGTCCCCTTGCCCTGATTCCACTCTCTCAGGCTGTGCAGGCTCAGGGATGATCCAGCAACCTCTCTGAGCCTCAGATTTCCCCACTAAAAATGGTAAGATGAGCCCAGATGCAAGGCTGTGAGGTTGGCTTGTGTGGTGGAGGTCGTCCTGGGCCTGGAGGATTCTGGCAGTCGGCCCTCACACTTGCAGAATCTCCCTCACTCTGGAAGTCAGAGAGCTAACCCATCTGGCCTCCCCCCTTTCTGTGTGGACCAAGCTGACCCCTGGTCTGGGGAAAGCCTGCACTCATGGGGGAGCAGACACCAGGTCCTCTTTGTCCCCCACCACTTCTGCAGCCTGCCACGGCCTCATCGCCTTCCCGACCTGCTAAGGCCTGACTGTGGGGCTGCGCTGCCCTCTGCCCCAGCAGGACACAGGGCCCAGGCCAGTTAAGACCTGTGCAGGGCAGCTGCTGGCACTGGGGGCTGGCCCCACAGAGGGCAGGCCAGGACGGGTGGGGAGCCACCGCAGGGGCTGGGAGGAAAAGGAGGGAACTGGAGAGCCGGGCAGGTTTGCCTGGCCTGGCCCGAGAGGGGGACTCAGGGGGACACCCCTTGTCTGAAGGGTGAGAAAGATCAGGCAAACCCACCTCAGTTCCCAGGACCTCTGCACCCCAGGCACTTGGGGAGGGGCTCCTGCTGCACCAGAGTCCTAAGACTCCTCAGCCAAGCTTTAGGTCCGTGTCCTATCAAAGCCAAATTCCTCCTTGCCTGGCCTGCCTGCCTCCTGCCCCTGACCTGCCCCTGACCTCTCCCATCATCCCTCAGGCCCTCCCTCGGGAGCCCCTTCTGGCCCTGCTGCCTTCCCTCCTCTGCACCCAGCTCAGCGCTGCTGGTGACCGGCTGGCCAAGCCTCGACCCTGTGCCCTGCTCTTGCCTCTTGCTCCCTGGCCATCGGGCTCTCACGTGCTCCAGCTCATTTGATCTCAACCTGCCCAGGCCATCTGGTGTTCATTTTACAAATGCGAGGCCGAGGCTCACGGAGAGATACTTGGAGGTGACTGGCCCAGGGCCACGCTGGGGAGGTACAGGGTCAGGTCTCACCCTCAGGCTGGAGTCTGTGTCTCCTATGGCAGCTGTGGCCACCTGGCTGGGGTGACCCTGCCCTGAGGCCTCCCTGTCGCCGGCCCGTCCACTCCCTAGGCACCTGCTTCAGGTGCCTCTCTGCCCCTTGTCAGGCCCAGCCAGATATGGGGTGCAGAGGGAAGGAAGCAAAGACCCCCAGAAGCCCCGGGAATAACAAATACAGATGCCAGGCCTCCACCACAGACCTACAGAATCAGTCTTGAGAAGGGGGAGACTAAAGACCCATAAGGTTCCCAAGCACCCCAGAAAATTTGAACATCCAGACACTGCCCCTCAGACAGTCACCCTGAATCCGTCCTCCTGAACCTCCCTCTCCTCCCATGACCTTCTCCTCCTCGCCCTCGTCTGCAAAGCCTGCACCCGCCAACCCACGCAGGGCCGTGGCCCCCCTCACTCCTGGGCCTCTAGGCACATGGTTGTTGACATCAATGTTTTTGGTTGCTGATTCAGCTTTTCACATGGGCGACCTCTGGTCCCCTGGAGCACGGGCTATGCCGGCCTTTTCCCTGCCCAGGGGCTCCACACTCCTCTTGAATGGGAAGGCATCAGAAGGCCTGAGTGAGCTGCTTAACCTCTCTGAGCCTCAGTTTCCCATTGATAAAATGGGGTTGTTGTGAGGATTAAATGAAAGCCCTTTTTACCGTGTTGTTATCATAGGATTAATAATAATAATAATCAATGAAGAAGGAAGTGTAATTGGTCCAGTTGAACAGGACTTTGAGGAACTGGATAAACCGCATGGGCTGGAGGGCAGCAGATGAGCAGAAGCCAGAGAGGCAGGGACCACCGGGGAGAAATCCCCTCCCCCAGCAGCTGACTCGCCACCATGGCCCCCCAGATGTGCCGAGCCTCCACTTAGCAGGGCGGCGGGAGTCCCAGAGAGTGAGAACACTTGGACCAATTTCCAATAATGGGATTTGACCTAAATTTTTGAGGATCGAGTCACTTCCTACAGGTCATTAGTTCCTCTGGGGACAGACTCTGGGCAGCTGGGTCCCTCTAGGCAGCCAGCAGGGGTGCTCAGGAGAGGCCAAGCCCTCAGGCCAGAGTCTGGCTGGGGAGGACTCGAGACTCCTCTCCACCTGTACCCCACCCCCCGGCCCCGAGCCGGACAGGTAACCCCCAAGCGCCCTGGTTCCTGTTTCTGACACCCAGCCCTCACGCCAGCACAAGCTGCCCAGCGCCCCGCCCTGCATAGGGAGGGCAGGCTCACAGATGCTGAACATCTGCTCCTGCCAGATCGAGGCAGGACACCTGATACACATCATCTCCTCTAATCCGAGCGACAGCCCGGGCGAGTGAAAACCGCCATCACCCCCATTCTACGGATGAGGAAGGTGGGGTTTGGAGTGCTGTAGTGGCTCACCCCAGTCACTTAGTCAGAAGCAGGGGAACCAGGCCCCACTGAGGCTGTCTCGCCCGGAAGCCACAGAGTGTAACCTTTCAGACCCAGGTTTAGCCCCCTGCGTGACCTCTCCCTCTGCCCAGCCTCACGGCGGGCTCAGTCCAGGGCACTCCCGGAGCAAGCCAAGCCTAGCACAAACCCAGCCCTGGCTTCCAGCCCCTCCCAGGAACCCTCCTACCTCCGATCCCGGGACAGAGCTGTGACCTTGGCTACAGAGACCACAGTGTGGCCTCGGCCCTGGTGGGGTTCTAGGGCTCCAGGCACAGACCCTGTGGCTCCCTGCCCGTGACTGCCATCTTGCCAGGGCTGGGGACTGACTGAGCCTTACCCAATTGTCCCCCACCCTTCTGCTGCAAGACACTGCAGCACAGGCTTCTGGGGTGGCATTTTCAGTAAATGCTGGTCTGGGCAGCCCTCACAGGACCTCAGCCCACTGACTGAAGTCCCCTCCCCCAGCTAGCTCAGATGAGGGTCTGTGTCCTGGGCCCAGGACCCTCCTCCATCCGCCCACCCTATTCACTTACCCACATCCTGCTCCCTCCTTGGTTCCGAAGGAGTCTGGGTTTCGCCAAGGGCAGGCATGACCCACACAGCAGCTTTGTGTGGATTAGGAAAAGGGTCCCTCAGAACACACGCAGCCTCGTGAGCCCACCAATTTCATTCAGCCACTTGCCCGGGCACCCTTGTGCAGTGAACAACCAGCCCAACTGTACACTGTGGCCCTGCTTGTTCTTTTGCCTCACCCCTCAGCTGCAGGCTCCCTGTGACCACAAGTTTCTGCACTTCCAGAAGCTCCCCCACCTCTCTGGGCCCTTAGGCCCAGCATGCTTCCAAGCTGGAGAGAGGTGAGGTGTTGAGAGCAGTGGCAAAGGGGGCAAAGGGTCCCCGGGCCCCTCTTCACTATACCCTTGAGCAAGAGGCAGGCAGTGCACTGGTTAAGAGTGCTGCTCTGGGTATCAATCTTGACTCTGCTACTTAAGTGCTGTGTGACCTGGGGTAGTGACTTCACCTCTCTGTGCCTGTTTCCTCATCTGTAAAATGGGAATCACAACAGCCCCACTTGCTGGAGTTGTGATGAGCATGAAATAAATTAATACACGTAAGGGCAGAACAGTGCCTGCCCCAGTAAGGGCCCAGTAGATTGTAATTTCTCTAGCTTCTAATTCCTGGCCACCTTCCCTCTCTCCTGTCCTCCCCTCACAAACGCGAGGAGTCCTTGGCTCACAATGCCCTTTCCCATTCCACCTCCTGGGTGAGTGAGGCTGAGATTAATGTTAGCATCATCCTGATGTTAGGGACCAGGAAGCTGGCGCTCAGAGAGGTGATGTGACCAGCCCCAGGCCAAAGCAGGTTAACACCTAAGGCCTCGCCATCCCAGCTCCATCAGCCAGCATGTGCCCCAGACTCGCCACATGACCCACAGCAGATGGAGACCTCGCTGTTGACCCAAGACCTCGGTTGGCCTGAGATCCCAGTGTAGTAACTTCAGAGCCCCACAGCGCCACCGGGGCGGGGCACTTCCTGTCCGGATGATGCACTGGCTCTGCCATCACCCCCGAGGTGCCGAGGCCAGACGTGCCCCAGGGAGAAGTGCCAGGTGGGAGACAGAGGGTTGCAATGTCTCCTTCCAGTTGCGGGGCAATATTCTGGACATGTCTTTTTGTCTCCCTTGGCCTTCTTCCACCTTGCGCCTGGTGGGGTTGGCGGGTGCCCCCTGTGCCCAAACCCAGAGAGTCCCTGGAGGCAGAATGGCTGGTCTCAGAGAAAATGACTCCACTGCTTAAGATCTGATTGACTTTGGGCAAGTTACTCAACCTCTCTGAGCCTCAGTTTGCTCATCTGCAAAACGGGCAGACAAAAGTTACCTGCCTTACAGAGTTGCGAGAATTCCACCTCAGGGGAAACCGAGGACAGACAAGGCAGGGCCATTAGTAAGTCCCCTGGGGAGGCTGCAGTGAGGTCCCTGAGAAGGCGCAGTCCCAGAGAGACCCCCACTGGAGGTGACCACTGCCTCACAGACCCACAGAAGCCTCCACTCCCACACCTGCCCCCTCGGGCACACTCCCAGGGTCACTCACACACACATATCCCATGCACTTACTCAGGACTCAGACTCCTCCATCCCTGCACGCCCAACCCTGCACCCATGCCAGTCCAACTGCACCCATCCTGGTCTCCCACACAGGCACAGCGCCACCACACCTCAGAACCCTCCCTTCTCTTCGGGAAGGACTAAGCTGAAGAAGCACCCTGCTTTTCACCCCTAGGCGGCCCCCATGCTTTCCCTCATCTCTGTCCTCTGACCCCACCATGGCATTGCCCCGTCCTCCAATCTGGACATCCCCTAACGCACCAGCCAGGAGTCCCTGCAGTCAGGCTGGCAGTCACCTTCCAGCCAACACAGCCTTGGGGTGCACAGTTCACAGGTGAGGGGGACACCAGGGAAGAAAGTGGGACTAAGGGCCGAACCCTGCTAGGACACCCCATCCCTGGCCCTGGGATCATCCCTACTGCCCACCTACCACGTCCCAGGGAGCCTGGGCAGGTGCTGAAGGCAGCTCCACCCACCTCCCTCCCACCCACCTCCCCCACACCCCACGCCAACCCCCACCCAGGCCTGCCTGCTGGGGACCATTAACCACCCCCTCCCCCCTCCACACTGCCCTGAGTGATGGTCCATCTATTATGCATGCTGCCTTCCTGCTCCATTCCATTTCCCGAGTATCCCCCTCCTGCACCCCCCACAGCCCCCTCCACCCGCCTAAGGGCTTTTAACCAAGTACATTAGGCAGGGCCAGATGCCAGTCTGACAGATGTCCGTAATGTTAGCCTCCGTTTCCCTCCTTCCTCCCTCTGCACAGCCCAATTTACCTCCCACCACTCCCAGCTGCCAAAACTTCCCAGACCTCGGTGGTACCCCTCCTCATAGTCTCTCCTCTACACCTCCTATTTCTGCCAGGCCTTCGCCATCCCGCCGTCCGCCGCCCCCACTGGCCTGGCTAACTTTCAGCTTCCAGCTCCTGGAGAGCCGAGGCGTGCTGAATGAATATTCCATCTGGGTGATTATTATTCACATGATATTAATTAATTATTAATTGCAATTAATCTCCTTCATTCCTAAGCTTCCTCTGGGAGGCAGGAGGGGCCTGGCAGCTGACAGGGACAGGAGGCGGGTGGAGCTGGCATTTGTGGGTGAGCTTGGGGCTTTGAACCTTTTTCCAAGGCCCCACCCACAGCAAGGACAGGAAGGAGAACAAGCCTATCAGTGTACAGGGGGAAACTGAGGCAGGAGCAAGCACTAAGCTGTTCCAAAAAAGCCCACTGAAGGTGGCTGTGGCGAGAACCGGGAGCCCTAATCCCTGACTGGCTCTTAGCTGCTTCTCCCTGCCCCCCCCCTTCCCTACCCAAGCCCCTTTGAGTAGAACCAGTTGCTTTGGCAGGAGAGGAGTGGGGGCTGGCGGAAGGCTGACCATGGCTGGACTGAGCCCTGGGCATTCGGGTCCGCTGAGGGCAGGGGATCCCTATGATGATGGGAGGGGGTCTGGAGCAGGGCAGGTGGGTGCTCCCACCAGCAGGCTCCAGCACGCACTTGGTGGCCCACTGTGCAGAAGGGGAAGCTGCAGGAGCCAGCTGCTGGGGAGCCGCCTCCCTTGGGCTCTAGGGTCTGCTCCAGCCCCCTGGCCTCATCCCCAGACCCACTCACCGGGCCACCTGGTGGCTCCTGGCGGACCCTGGTGTCCAACTGCTGCTTTCGGACCTCTCCCCCAGAGCTCTTCCCCACCAGACGGCTGGGTTCTGTGACCTCCGGGGCTTCCAGGACTCCCAAGTGGGGTGAGACCCGCCAGCGCAGAGCTCCGGCAGGTCCCCGGATCCCAAGACCTGGGGAGGCAAGGCCACAGCTGAAGGCAGATGCCCATCGTGGGGAAAGAGACTTGGGAATGGGGTGGGCACACCCCATCCCCCACTCTGGCGTGGCCCTTGGAGGGGATCCTGGAGGGATCTGGGTGGGAGGATCTGCTTTCCTGCAGAGGGAAGAGCCCGATGGGGAGGGGACCAGGAGCTTCACTCCTGCCCTATCGTCACGACTGCCACCCCCCCCCCCCAAAGCTGCAGAGACCTGCAGAGTCTGCGGGCCGGCGGCAGGGGAACGGCCGCGGTGGGGAGGGCCAGATGGGGACAGGTGGGTGCACGCACCCTCCCTCCTCCCGCGTCCCCCACCTCCCGCATTCTGGACTGGCTGTCACCCCAAGCACTGCAGGAAAATGTGGCTGCAGCAGACACCGCCGCAAAGCCCGGGGCGGGGGCAGGGACGGGGCGCCGGGCCGGGCCGGGCGAGGGTCACTCACCGGGCGGGGAGAGCAGCGGCAGCAGCAGCAGCAGCGCCGCGAACGCCCAGCGCCGCAGCCGCCTCATGGCTCATAATCCTCCGGGTCC